ACCTTGAGATTAGCAGTCCAACACTTAATCCACAATGCTACCCAAGTTCCTTATGTGCATAGAGAGAATAATGAGCCAAAGGTCAAGCAAAAGTCCAAATGATCCTGGCGTGGTGCTGTAGAATAATGCACTGGACTGCAAGGTTGGTTTGAACTGTAAGGTCGGCAGTTCAAACTCACCAGTTACTCCTTGAAAACCTTATACAGGGTTGCTATGAGTCAGAAGTGACTTGATGGCAATTAGTAATAACATATGGAGGAGAAAAGACCAAACCATGAACTTCTGAGCTAGTCATCATGAGGGAAACAGTAAGCATAGACTGCAGATTCAGGCATGGTGAAGAGTTTTACCAGGAATTCAAGAGTAGACCTCAGGGATTTGGATGAGACAAAGTGGTAAGAATTTGATAATGGATGAGTTGCCAAGGGAATAGGTTTTCTTATGCAATTTTGAAAATAAAATAGAATCCCATCTAGTGTAGTCCTTGTCAAAGGTGAGAGAATGTTCTGGATAATATCTGTCTGTATATGGTTTGACCCTTTCTAAGATTTGCATTTTCAAGGTTGACATGATCTCATTCGACTTTCTGTCAGGCTCTGAGACATTGGGCAGGGCCAGAATTACTTCACTCTCGAGGAAATTGAGAGACAAAGGGTTAGGGGCCAGTTGGGAGGATAGAGATGGAGGAAGGAAAGCAGGCCTCAGAGGGGTTTGAAGTTCAGAAGGAAATAAGATTTTTTTTTTTTTTTTGGAAAACGTCTGTTCCTTTCCAGGTACACTTGATTACTCACTGTTTAGTAGGCGGAAGTCAATGAATGGGTAGGAGCCACGGCGTTCAGCAGGAACCCCTGTCTGACCCCTTAGTCGTACATCTCCTAAAAAACAGAAAATCCAAACAAATGTTGTTTGAAAACATTGCCAAGTGTATTCACTTTTCTTCTGTAAATCCTCTTAACCAGTTATGCTAATGGAACCAACACCAGATGTCAGGAGAAAAATGATTTCCATTCACCCACCTTGTTTAAAAGCATGCCACATGGGAAGGGATATTTAGTAAAAGCTGAGTGTAGTGAACTTGGCAATGCTGTAGCAAGTTAAGTAGAGGTCTTGCTTATATATGCTTGAAAAATAGGTCTGTGAAAATTTTGGCAACTTCTAGTTTCCATAGTTTGTTTGTTTTTTAAAATACTTCCCAGGATCACAAAGCAGTTTAATCTTGAAAGACAAATGATGTGTTGAGACTATACTCTTGTTGTGTGCCAGAAGGTAGTTCCAACTCATAGTGACCTTGTATGATAGAGTAGAATTGCCCCAGAGGGTTTTCTAGGTTGTAATCTTTACACGGAGCAGATTGTCAGGTCTTGTCTCCCACAGAGTGACATGTGCGTTCAGATGGTCCACCACCACCACCACCACCACCACCACCGCTCTTTGGTTAACAGCTCAGTGCTCAATCCTTGAGCCATCAGAGCTTCTTGTAGAGTTTTCTTATACATTTTTTTTTGGTCAAGTTTTTATTGTGAATCATGTGATAGTTTACATGGGAGAACACCAGCTTTACATTCATCCTATCGAAGTTTGTTTCATTGCAATGATTACAATCCCCTCCATGTATCATCAAACAGGTACACCCTGCAAGCCTGCCCCCCAGCTGTCAGTACACAGCCCCTCTCCTTCCCTGAATCCAAAGTCCCCAGATGCTCCATCTCTCCACATCATTGTCTCTGCTTTCTTAGATTTTTTAGAAAATTTAAATCACTTACAACGTCATTTCTCTTGGTTCCAGCTTAGTTAGTTTTTGATTGGTACCTATCTTTCTTGATCCCCAGGTTGTATCCTTGGTCTGCTTTAGAATCTATTGAGAATGTGTCTCTCTCTTTCTTCTGCAGATAAAGTCCCAGGTACTTCAGAAACTTAGTCACCTTTGTACATGGAATAATCTATAGAGTTTCTGTGACTTATTTATGTCTGTTTTGTTGTTAAGTGCCATCAAGTTGGTTCTGACTCATAGCTAGATCTCATTTAATGTCTGTGTCCTACCTTCCTAGCCAAGGAGATAACACAATAGAGTGAAAAAAGCAAGGACTTTGGAATAAAGTAGACCTTTGCAAATCCAAAAACATCATGGGTGGCACAAATGGTTAAGAGCTCAACTACTAACTGAAAGGTTGGTAGTTCAAATCCACCCAGAGGTAACTTGGAAAGAAAAGTCAGCTGATCTACTTCTAAAAGGTCATAATTATTGAGAATACTATGGACCACAGTTCTACTCTGAAACAATCACCATGAATAGGAATTTGAATCCATGGTAACTGGTCTGGTTGTATGTATGTGTGTGTAAACTTGACTCAGACACTTGTTACCTGCGTGATCTGGTGGAATTTATTTCTCTGAACCTCAGTGGCCTCATCTATAAAGTGAAGCTAAGACCCACTTCACAGAGTCAGTGTTCAAGCATCTGAACTAGCCCTCAATGCCTAGCAATTTTTACTGGTTTCACTTTCCCCTAAGCACTTACAAAAGAAGGACTGTGGATACTATGCTTTTTTTCTTTTCTTTCTTTCTTTCTTTCTTTCTTTCTTTCTTCCTTCCTTCCTTCCTTCCTTCCTTCCTTCCTTCCTTCCTTTCTTCCTTTCTTCCTTCCTTCCTTCCTTCCTTCCTTCCTTCCTTCCTTCCTTCCTTCCTTCCTTTCTTTCTTTCTTGCATTTTCTGATGGTTCTTTGTGCATCATATGGGATTTAGTGAATGTCCTTGTCAACAAGAGCACATATAAAGACCCATCACCAAGTATTATACTTACTATGGTTACAGAATTGGGGAGGTATAGAAATGCATTTCAAAACCAAATCCACTGTCATCAAATTGATTCCAACTCACAGCAACCCTACAGAGCGTCCCTGTGAAGGACATTATGTTTGGTAAAGTGGAGGGACATTATGTTTGGTAAAGTGAAAAAGAGGAAGGTGCTCAACGAGGTGGATTGGCACAGTGGCAGCAGCAATGGACTCAACAATAACAATTGTGAGGGTGTGCAGGGCGAAACAGTGTTTCATTCAGTTGTGTGTGGGTGGCTATTAGTCAGAATCAACTGGACAGTACCTAACAACAAATCTTACAGAAACAGAGAAGCTCATATTTCTACTGAGGAGATCTGCTGGGGTTAAACTGCTGACCTTGTGGTTAGGACTCCAACACTAAACCACACTACACTCAATATAGTTCTGGAATAACTAAATTAGGGAATCTTTCAAATTGAGGAGTAATGGATCCAATCTCATAAATCCTGTTTCCCAGACTGAGGTGGCCCTGGCTCCATCGACTGGGAGTGAAGAGAATGAACAGTCTTTCCTCTTCTACTCACTCAGAAATTCAAAGTTTTGAATTTTCTTATTTAATGCTTCTTGTATTCTGATATTGTATTGCCATATTGATAATAAATAATGTGACAATTTATAGAATAAAAGCAATGAAGCAAAATGAGAAGAGAAGGGAAGAGATGGAAAACTACATAAAACATTTTCATGAATATAATCTAACACCAAAGAACAGAATGCAATGAAAATTTGTTAAGTTTGTGAGAGTGGAGGCCAATAGTTGGTGGGAAGCAATGGGAAGAATTGAATAATTCTTCTCCCTTTCAAAGTAATTCAAAGTAATTACCTTGAACATTATGTTTATAATGCACTAAAAAGTTTGCACAAGACCTCTTGGAATTGTTCAAGAGCACATATGTCAGTTTGAGGACTAAGGTGCACCTGACCCAATTCATGGCATTTTAAATAGTCTCATATGCATGTGGAAGTTGGACAATGAATAAGGAAGACCATGAAGGACTCATGCATTTGAGTTATGGTGTTGAAGAAGGTTGCTAAAAGTGTCATGGAGTGCCAGAGAACAAACAGTCTGCCTTGAAAGAAGTACAACCGGAATGCTATTTAGAAGCAAGGATAATGAGATTTGTCTCTCATTCTTTGGACATGTTTACCAGGAAGGACCACTCACTGGAGAAGGACGTCATACTTGGTAAAGTAGAGGGTCAGTGAAAAAGAGGAAGACCCCCAACAAGATGGATTGACATAGTGACAGCAACAATGGTCTCAAGTGTAGCGATTGTGAGATTGATGCAGCACCGGGCAGTGTTTCCTTCTGTTGTGCACAGGGTTGCTATGAGTCAGAGCCAACTTGATGACCTCTAACAACAACAGCAATGAAAGTTTGCAAAGCACTTTCACAAACATCACAGGTTATTTACTTTCCTGTTTGTGTCTTTGGATCTTCACAACAGCCTGGTGAGGAGGGCTTTTCCCACAAGAACCCCAGATAAAGGACCAGACCCCTTAAAGTCACCTAGTAAATATCGACTGACTCTCAATTAAAATGTCTGAGTTTATGATGTTGTAAACTTACAAATAGCAGGGCTAAAGCTAGGATCAGGAGGCTCTGCATGGTACAAAGAGTAAATGTGCTAGACAGTTCATTGTAAAGTGGGAGATTCAAGCCACCCAGAGGCACCTCAGAAGAAAGACCTGACGATCTACTTGTATTGAAAGTGTGATGGAGCACAGTTCTACTCCGACATACCTAGTGTCACTAGTAGTCAGAATTTACAAGAAGACAACGAGTCAATCCTTAACTATAACTGCCAAACTTCATAGGCAGAGCTCTCTCCTCAATACCAGTGGTTGTTAACTATATGGAGGATGCAGATCTGTTAACCTGATGGGAAGGAAAAACATCATAGACTCTCATGATAGAAGCTGTACTTCAGATAGCATTTTCATTGAGAAAAGTCAGCATGCTAAAATGAAGAAACAAATTCAGTGCTGCTTCTAAGTGGATTTGTATTTTATGAACGTCAGTATAAGGCTGACATACATTTGAAGAATTGTGCATGGATGAGACCTATTCATTTGCTCTACAGACAAAGCTGGCTGGTCTGGTGGATTTGTTACCCTGTTGCTATAATCCATTGGGATTCTCCCAGGGGTTTCTGGCTCATCATTTGAAATAATTTCATTTAGTACTACCAAAGAGTTCCTCCTAACTTTGTAGTTCTGAGAGTACCGTGTCTCCAGAAATCTTCTAAATAAAATCAATATAGATTTGAAAGCCTCTTAAAGGATTTATTCCCTTTGTTCAGATGAGAGTCTAAGGAAAAGGAGAACCATAATCCTTTCAGATTTTAGATTTAGGGCAACTGTGTGGAGGCACATGGTAGGGTGGGTGAAGGAGAGGGGATGAATGAGGAATTAGTATTCTCTTACTGAGAGGCTCAGAGTGTTGCTATATTGGGTGACTCTGCACCAATCAACAAATGCTTTTAGGTTTCACTTTCTTATCTGTAATAGGGCATGATCATTGATGTTTTATATTCCTCAAAGTATTGTGGGGAGGAAAGTACAAGGTGTGTGAAAATGACAACATGGTTGTTGTTAGTTACTGTTGAGTTGGAGTTTTGGTGTAGAGCTGTAGGATCAGCACTAGACTACTAACTGAAAGGGTGGTGATTCAAACCCACCAGCCATTCCTTGGAAACCCTATACAGGGTGTCTGAGGCAGAACTGATTTGATGACACTTAACAACAACAACAAATGTCAAATAGGCTTAGACTCATGAAGATTCCATTCTCCACAGAACAAACCAAAGTTCTGCCCGGTGGCGGTGGCGGTGGCGGTGGTGGTTATGTGCTGTGGAGTTGGTTCCAACTCATAGTAACCTTGCACAGGATTGCCAAGGCTATCAACCTTTGCAGGAGCAGAAAGCATCAACTTTCTCCTGAAAACCTTGGCCTAGTCCTGCATCATCTACACTTCGCATTTTAAATGTCTTCTAACCTAAGAGCTCATCTTCTAGCACTGTATTCTTTGTGATCCA